GGGAGGAGGAGGAGGAGGAGGAGGAGGAGGAGGAGGAGGAGGAGGAGGAGGAGGAGGAGGAGGGAGGAGGAGGAGGAGGAGGAGGAGGAGGAGGAGCAGGAGGCAGGAGGAAGGAGGCAGGAGCAGGGGCCCACCCTCGCCCCGCCCCCATGTGCGCCAGGCTACGGCGTGCTGAAGGCGGGGCGCCCTCCCTCGGCCGGCTCTCTGCGCGGGCGCGCGGCCGGCGGGCCGCTCCGCTCCGGCGGGGGCCGCGTCCCCCGTCGGCGACGACGACGACGACGACGACGACGACGACGACGACGACGACGACGACGGCGGCGACGACGGCGACGACGACGACGGCGGCGACGACGGCGACGACGACGACGACGGCGACGACGACGGCGACGGCGACGACGACGGCGACGACAACGACGACGACGACGACGACGACGGCGGGCCTCGAGAGGCCAGCCGTCGAACTCCTCGGCTGCGCGGGGCCCGGAGGCCGTTCGAGGAAGAGGCGAGGCGCACGCAGGTCTGCGTCGCCGCGGGCGTCGCCGGCTCCCAGAGGGGATCGCTATTGTCCGACCGAGGTGTAGGATCGAGGTCGCTTCGGGGAGGGTACCCTCGTGTTCTTCGTGCTCGTTGGATGCTCTTGTACGTTCCGCTTGTTTTGGCCGACGGAGGGTCTCATGTTTTCGAGAGATGTTATTCCAGCCGTGGTCCGACGGTACCCGTCGGTCGTTGAAAGTGGGTATTTCTGGATCCCCAGATCCCAATCTGTTCTGGCCGCCGTCCCACCTCAGGAGTCAAGTGGTTTTCTCTCTTCCGTCCTCGTCGGGGGGCGGGCGAGGGCCCGATCTACTTCCAACGCCCTCCTGCTTTGGACAGCGTTTCGCTCCCCCTCCTCCTCCTCCCTCCCCGCTCCCCAGACCCCCCTCGGGCAATGACAAATCACGACGTAGGGTTCCTGCCAGCTTTCGGCCTGTGGAGGCTCTCACCAGGCCTCAGGACCGTGAACCACTTTATTCGGAATGAAGAACTGGTCCCCAGGAAGGGTCAGGAGGGAAAGAATCACACAGACACAATTAATCGTCGGCTCCATGGAAATATGGGAAAATTTAGGAAGAGAGGGGGAAGACGAAAACCCACAAAACATGTGGAAATATGGGGAATCTTGTTATTTGTGTCTATTTGTTTCTGTGTCCCAGGGCCCCTTTGAAAGGGGTCGAGGCACCTGTGGGCCGACGTGATGAGCGGACCATGACGTCGGGCTCCGGGGACCGGCGCGATACAAAAAAAGCATGACAGAGCGCGCGGCCGCCCTCTGTCAAAGCCGGAGTAATGGGGGGGAACACAAATGGGGGGACCTGAGTAGGCGCAATAGTTCATGCAATAGTTGGTGCTTGGATGCAGTAGTTTGCGGCGTGGATGCAATAGTTCCGCGCGGGTGTTGCTTCGTCTTGTTTCGTGCGCAATAGTTCAGGCGGTTTGCAATAGTTCGTGCCCCCTTGCAATAGTTCGCGCGCAATAATTCAGGCAAGCGAACTATTGCACCTACTGCCGTCCCCCCTTTTGTGTTCCCCCCATTGCTCCAGCGTAGACTCTGTACGCGAGTTGCTGAAGGTGTCCCCGGCCCAGGAGACCGCTGTTTGTCGATTGTTCTTCGGCGATGCGGTCGGAAGCTTTTGGATCGCGCGTGTCGCTCCGCCGGTTTTGGCCCACCGCGCTTCGGTGCGACGCGTTGTCCGCTTCCCGGCCCCCTCGGAAGGGAGCGACACGCTGTCCGCTTGCAAGGCAGGCGCAGCGTGTCGCCAGGGCCGCCGTCGCGACACGCTGCCCAAAAGTGCCCAATCGTACGCCCGGGTGCGGACTGCGGTCTGCGTCGGTGGGGGCAACACGTTGCCCTCGTCGGGCTCTCGTCGGGGCGCGGCAGAGATCTCCGTGGAGTTGAGGTCCTCGCCCACCCCGCAGGGTGCGGGTTGCAAAGCACGCCCTTTGCAAGCCAAACCCTTCGGAGTCGCCGGGGGCCGGGGCCTGAGCGCGAAGGGCGAGGGGCGAGGAGGGGAGGGGGGAGGAAGAGGGCCGAGGAACAAACATTGAATACACATAACCGACCGTCAAACGTTTCTGTTTGTGCTGTTTTCTCTTCCCCTAGAAGAGGGGAGGCGGGTAGGAGGAGCATGGAGGCGAATGAGGGAGGTCACGAGCGGCGAATATATACGTACCCGCGCCCTCGCGATGTGGATTCCGGGTTCGCGATCCCGCGGGTGGGCGGTCGCTTTCCGCACAGGGCATGCGCGAAAAAGCGCCGTGTCCGCGGGGTCGTCGCCCAGGGGCCCGGCCCGCGAGGCCGGAGATACGGGTATGTTTGTCGCTCACGAGGAGGAATCGGCTGGAGGGATGAGGTGAAAGAACAGGCCGAGCAACGAGGGATGAGGCGGCGGGATGAGCAACGAGGGCGGGTGGAGGATGAGGACGGAGGGCGGAGGATGCAGGAGGAGTGTGAAGGGGATGCTGGAGCAAGCGGGTCGGGCCAGTCATCCTGTCTCTCCTTAGAGGCCCACAGCAGCGATTCGGATCCATGGGCATCAGGAAGGTGTTGCTGGCAATCTCCAATGAGATCTCCGATTATGCGCGTGTGTGTGTGTGTGTGTGTGCGTGCCCGTGCATTCACGAAGTTGCATGTTTTGGACACGGCCTCTCCCCCAGCGGCTACCGCAGCTACCCACTTGTAACGCCTAGTGGGCAGCTTTGCACGCCGAACTCACTCGACTCGCTCTGCGCAGTCCCACGTCTGGAAGGCCAAGTGGAACTGGCGCTAAGCGCGCCCCGCGTTAACTCCCGCTGTAGTGACGTCGCTCGGCCACTTGAGGAAACAGTGTTGTCTCAGGCAGCCTCAGGATGCGAGGGCGAGCCCCCGCAGGAGCGTCCTGGGGCATTCTGGGAACGAAGCGGCGCAACACACGTCTTCGTGGAGCCGCCGGCCTTGAGAAGTCCCAGGATGAGCCGTACCCGATGTGTTCGTTTGTTGCCGGTGTCTCCTCCCCATGCCAGGAGCTGTTCTGACCGCTGCTCTGGTCCGCAAGTCAGATCCAGCTTGTTTTCGCTCATGCGCTTGGCCGCGTGCGCTCTCCCAAGAGTGCGTGCGCCGTGGGCCCTGGCGCCCATCCCGGCTTCTTCTTTCTCTTCCTTTTTCTCCACGTCCACTGCCCCATCCCCTTGTCGTCCTCCTCCTCCCTCTGCCTCTCTTTCTCATCGTCCTCGACATCCTCCCCCTCCACCTCTTCTTCTTCCTCAACCCACTGGCTTCCCCCCGCCATCTGCCTCAGTGACCTTCCTCGTCCTTTCGCTCTTCGACCTCATCTTCCTGCTGCCGCTTATCCTCTATCTTCAGCCTCTTTGTACCCCACCTGGAAAATCGTGCTTCCCCTCGTCTGTCCCTTCCGTTTTCCACTTCACCCCCGTGTATTGTTGTCCGCATTGTTGCCCGTCCCACCACTCACCTTCCCTCATGTTCTCCGCCCTTGTTCCAGAGTGTCCTGCTCCCCATCCCCCCATCTTCCTCACCCTCATGGTTCGTTGTCTCCTTGTTGTTTCTCTCCATCCTAGCCCACCATCGTTTCCTCCTCCCGCTTTCCAGAGTTCCAGATTTCGGAACCCTTTCGAGTTGAGGGGGAGGGACAGATGAGGAGGAAGAAGGGAGAGAGGAAGATGATGATGATGCTGATGATGATGATGCTGATGATGATGCTGATGCTGATGATGATGCTGAGGATGATGATCGTGATGGCGATGATGCTGATGATGATGATGCTGATGATGAAGATGAGGATGAGGATGAGGATGAGGATGCGGATGATGATGAGGATGAGGATGCCGATGCTGATTATGATGCTGATGCTGATGCTGCTGCTGCTGATGATGATGCTGATGCTGTTGCTGTTGCTGATGCTGATGCTGCTGATGATGCTGCTGATGATGAGACTGATGATACTGATGATGCCGATGATGATGATGATGATGATGATGATGATGATGATGATGATGATGATGATGCTGATGCTGATGATGATGATGATGATGATGATGATGATGATGATGATGATGATGATGATGATGATGCTGATGATGATGATGATGATGATGAGGAGGAGGAGGAGGAGGAGGAGGATGATGAGGAGGAAGAGGAGGAAGAGGAGGAGGAGGGAACGGAACAGGAGGAGGATAACGAGGATATGTGAGCGAGGGGGAGGTAGGACAGGTGGGGGAGGAGGAGCGTGCAGAAGAAGTGGGGAGTAGGGGGACGAGGGGGGAGGAGTAGGAGAAAGAGGATGGAGAGGAGGGAGGCAGGAGGGAGAGGCTGTATTGTTTAGAGGCTGTATTGTCAACTTCGGCACTCAGGAGAACGGGAAAGGGAGGAAGGACGAGAGGAGAGGGACCAGGGGAAGGAGGGGGAGAAGAAAACGGAGGAAAGAAGGGGGGGGAGAGTGAGGAGGCGGAGGGAGCAGGGATCTGGAAGGAGGGAGGAGAAGAGAATCAAGACGGAGGAGGGGTGAGGAACGAGGGGGGAGGAAGTGGGGGGAATTGAGGGCAAAGATGGTCTGAGAAGGGATGGGATGACGGAAGTGAATGGGGGAAGGAGAATGTCACAAAACGATTCGGGACGAAGAACCTGTCCCTGGGAAAGGGTCCAGACCTCCTTGGTGAGCCACTTTTGGAAAAGACGCGACGTCGGATGTGTGGGTCCGAGGGGACAGACAAGACTTGGCAAAGTGGTCGCCTCGATCGTGGTCACGACGAAGGATGCCCGGGAAAGACTGAGGCGGGGTTGGGTATGACCCCTCCTCCCCTCCTCGTGCCCCTCCCCTTCCCAGATTGCCATGGGGGCCCGCTTGCGCCTGCAAAGCACGTGAGGGGCCGAGGTGAACTTCCGCGGCTCTTCGGGCTTCGGCGGCCGCTGGCGGGACGCGTCCGACGGCGTGGCCGCCGCGGGCGGCTTCCTCGACGACGTGGCGATGGCGGTGCGGTGGGCGCTGGAGGCCGTGGCTTGCACCTGCGTTGGGGTTCTTGCCTGCCCTGCCCTCTCGCTTCGTCGCTTCCTGCGCTGTGGGCTGGTCGTCGCTTCCCCCTCGGCCTCGTCTTCCTTCTCCTCTCCCTGGCTCCCTCGTCGTCCTGCGTGAGGGGCGCGCGAGGTCCCAAGCGGTGTCGACCCCGACGTTGGCCCCGTGGGGGGAAACAACGAAAACAACTTGGGGGCTCTGACGGCCGGTCTGGCGGCTACGTTGCCGCCGTCGCCGCCTCGTCGCCGGCTCGTCGCCGACCGCCGTCTGGGCCGGACGGTCGGTCTGGCGGCTATCTTGTCGCCGTCGCCGCCTCGTCGCCGCCACATAGGTTGCTCATCATGTATGGATCCACGTCGAGTGCACCACACAAATTGCATCACGTAAATTGCTCCACATATATTGCCCCACCTAGATTGCATCACATCGGTTGCACAACCTAGATTGCACCACACGGGTGGCCCATCAGACTTTGCACGACATGTGTCACGCAACATAGTTTGCACCACACCATGCGCAAACTAGATTTCACCGCATATATTGCACAACATACATTGCATCACAACGACCTTGGTTCTCAACACAGATTGCACATCCTGAAGCCCATCAGACTCAGACGACGGTGCACCAATCCAACTACAAGCACACGCGGTGACGACCCAGTCCATCAGCCCCCTCCTAAGCCTCAGGACATGGAGGGGGGGGCAGCTGCCAACCAGCCGAGGTGGTCTACCTCTAAGCCCACTGCAGGCGATGGGACACGGGGTAGAAATACCGAGGCCCACGACACAACCATCCGCGGCCATTGCCTGTGGGGATGGGGGCCGTTCGAACGATGCTCATCCGCTCTATCTCCTCTCCACCCCACGCCTCACCCACTGCCCTCTCTCTCTCTCTCGCTCTCTCCTCTCGCTGTTGCTTGAGCTGCTTGCTGCGCTGCCGTTGCTTGCCGTCGCTTGTGGTTACGGACGGGCGAAGTTTGGAAGCACGTTTGTGCCCCATCCTGGCAATTCAAGGCATCTGGTTCGGTTGACGCTTTGCTAGAACAGACAGGAATACGCTCACAGACTTGGCGGGCAGGGCGGGCACCAGGGAGGGAGAGAAGCAGTTGAACTTGTTTGTTCAGCAACTTGTTATATCACACTTCTGTATCTTGACCTTTGTGCTTGAAACCCAGTTGCTGAGCAACGATCCTAACTAGGCTCCGCATTGCTCACGTGGGCGACCCCGGCTCAGCGCAAGCTCAAGTCCTCTTGATCTTTGCATGCGTTTCGTCGCGTTTGTTCATTGGTTTGGGTTGTTTCGCTTGTGTCGCCCTCGTGGGCCCTGCTGGATTCCCATCAATTTCTATTGTGATGGTGGTGGTGGTGGTGCCGTGGAGGACCGCTTAGACAACGACAGCAACGAACATGGCGACAACGAGCAGGGCGATGGCGACGGGGCAACTCCCAGATGCAGCAACGGTGGTGCATCACGTCCGTCCCAAGTCCCCTCAGAAGTCCTGACAAGCATTCTGTAGCACTGCGCAGAGCGATCCCTTGAACGACAGGGCCGCAGGGTTCGCAATTCATGCAGAAACTCCGCTCTGAAAAGCAAGTGGCTTCCACCCGTCGAGTTTCAGGGACTACGATCTGGCGGGAACATGCAGTTCGATGAATTGTCCATCGCCCGCTCCGGTTGGGAAGGAGCCGGCCTCTATCCGTGCAACTGCTTCACATGGCTAGGTTCCTGGCCAGGTTGAGTTGCACAGCAGTCCCGCAGCAACCGAAAGCATTGCATTGCGGTGCGCAGATGGGGCGGGAGGCCCTACGGGCGACACAGAGACCACAATGGAGGATGACGATTAATAAATGACCGGGGGTCGTGTTCACGCGGCGGCGCCCGGGATGACGATTAGAAAAAACCGGCCGCGGGCTGGAAAACTATTTTTTATATCGTTCTCCTCCAGTCAGAAAATTATGCAGAAATAGCAGAAAACTATGTTTTCATCGTTCTCTCTCTCTCTCTCATTTTTTTATTCATCGCCATCCTGCATTACAGGAGGCCACTCGGGAAACTGCACGGGAGACCACAACGAGAGCTCCTGCGAGACGCCGCGCGGGCGACCCGAATCCTGGGGGGCCCTGCGGGCGACGACCATGCGGAGACCATGCGGGAGACCATATGCAGGATGCAATGCGGGAGGCCACGCGGGGAGAGACCGTGCGGGAGGCAGCACGCGGGGAGACCACGCGGGGCACCGTACAGTGAGCGGCTTGAGTAAGGAACACGTGCTGTTCAAAAGGGGCTCGGTCGTTCCTTAGGTTTGCATGCGTTATTCGTTGTTTATCGTTCCTCATGCGTTATTCCTCGGGATAAAAAAGGGGCTCCGTTCCTTATTTATCGCTCCTTAGGTCAAGCCCCCGACTGTACGAGAGACCATGACGGGAGACGACCATACAGGAGCCACGGGCCACCGGGCACCGATGCCGGAGCCGGAGAGGCTGGATTCGGCGTGTTGCTAAATTCGTTGGCAGTTCAGTTGCTGTAGTGCTGCTTAAAGGTGGACTGCGCTGTTTATCCGTGCAATCTACCACGTCTTCAGTTCCTTCTCCCTGCGTCCAGTCCCCTTATATGCCTGTCAGAGTCGTTCGGCTCTTCTCTGGTCGTCGCTGCTGGCTGGTCGCGAAACCACCGGGCCTGTTCCGCGCTGGTGTTGGGGCGTTGTTTCGGCGTCGTCAGCTCTTGCCTCTGCGCGCGGACCGGGAGGAGCGGGAGTTGGCAGGACCAGGAGAGCGGGAGCGAAGGCGGCAGTGAAGTAAGGAAAAACAGTGCAATATGCAAATGCAAAACAAAATACTGTTTTTTTCAGTGTTGTCGTTTTGAGCTTGTCAGGAGACCGAAGTGCAACACGGTAAAAGCAGGAACGCCCAGGACGCATTTAAGGAGAATCAGACGGAACGGCGCACCCCTGGCCATATCAGCAACATGTGTATATATGCACATATCTCAGAGTGAGGGGGCCGAACGGTCATTCATTGTCCTTGGGTGCGTGGTTGAAGTGATGTTCTGCGGTGCGGGTTATTGTTCTTGTTTGCGAGTTTGATTGTTTTGTGGTTTGGTTGTTGGTTTGGTGTGTTTGTTTGTTTGCTTGTGATTGTTACTGTTGGTGTTGTTGTTGGTTGATGTTGCTGTCTTGTTGTGGTTGTTGTTGACGTTGCAGTTGTTGTCGGTATTATTGTTGGTTGTTGTTGTCAGTGTTGCTGTTGCTGTTGCTGTTGCTGTTGCTGTTGCTGTTGCTGTTATTGCTGCTGCTGTTGAACTCTCATTTCTGAATAATTATTGTTGATCCCCCCCGTCCGGTGTACTGTTTTTTTCGATTGAAGTGCCCCCTTCCCCGGGCTCGCACCCTGTTTCTTATCAGGGAAAGTCTTGAGGGTCAAACTGTGTCGTTGGCCCCCAGTTTACAGCAACAACGGCTCCCGCTTGAGACTTCCTCACAATTTAGCCAGGACCCCCGCTCCCGCCCGAGACTTCCTCGCGTTTATTCAGGAATCGCGCTCTCGCTGGGGATTTCCTTAGAATTTATTCTCCCGGCGCTCTGGAGTCGCGCTCTCGCTGGAGATTTGCATGCAATTTACTCAAGAATAGCGCCCTTGCGTTGGAATTTCTTGCAATTTACTCAAGCGCCGCGCTCCCGACACCCAGGCACCCAGGAATCGCGCTCACGCTTAGGACTCCCTCACAGATTACATAGGAATCTGGATCTCGCTGCCCTTCGTGGCCCCGTTGCAGCCCTTCGTGGCCACCTCGCTTTGTTTCGTGGCCCCGTTGCAGCCCTTCGTGGCCCCCTCGCTGCCCTTCGTGGCCCCGTTGCAGCCCCTCGTGGCCTCCTCGCTGCCCGTCGTGGCCCCGTTGCAGTCCTTCGTGGCCCCCTCGCTTTGTTTCGTGGCCCCGTTGCAGCCCTTCGTGGCGCCCTCGCTTTGTTTCGTGGCCCCGTCGCAGCGACCCACCCGCGACCCAACCGCGACCCACCCGCGACCCACCCGCGACCCACCCACGACCCACCGCGACCCACCCACCCGCGAACCACCCGCGACCCGCCCGCGACCCACCCGCGACCCAACCCGCGACCCAACCGCGACCCACCCGCGAACCACCCGCGACCCACACGCGAACCGCACTGCGACCCACCCGCGACCCAACCGCGACCCACCCGCGACCCACCCGCGACCCACCCGCGACCCACCCGCGACCCACCCGCGACCCACCAGCGACCCACCCGCGACCCATCCGCGACCCACTCGCGATCGAACCCGCGACCCACGCGAATTGCTTCAACAAAAAAGTCGGCGCCTACGGCGGGCCCGTTGTATAGCTTGTAACGATCATGCGCCTGCGGCGGGCTCCTTCAGAGCCTCGCAGACTTCCGACGTCCCCGCCGCCCCCTCACTCTTATCCGCAACAGTGAGGTGCTACGGCATGTGTGAATATATCTACACACATGCATAGGCCAGTACAGACAAGATGTTGCGGACGAGCGCAGTCCGAGGCCATAACAACATTATGATAAGGAGCATTGTTCCATATGTGCAAGCGCTTCACCATTGCACATGTCTGGTCATGTGCTTGAGGAACTCTCGGGTCGGAGCCTGGTTGAAACTGCCTGGCTAGCATCTAGACGGTTGCACGCGGCGTCAAGGAGAGTTGTTTGAAGACAAGTCGCCCTCCATCAGCGCAATTGTGGATTCGATTAAGATGAACGTGTAAGGTGCCAAGGCGAGATGTCCGTTTTGCAAACGGCCGTCTTCCAGCAGTGTATGTTCTGGATTTTCTCAAGACGGTTGCGCATGGCGCCAAGGCGGCGAGAGCCCCATTTTGAACACGATCTTCCCACCAAGCTTCGATGCCGCAAACGGTGACGAAATCTCAGGCGAAGCGCCCGGCCCGCCATGACAACACGTCTGCTCGTTATGCGAGAGGGGAGAGTTGGTCTTAAGGAAGCAGGGTGGAGGAGGTGGAGCATGAGGCGGAGGAGAAGGAGCTGGAAAAGCTGGAGGAGCTGGAGGAGGAGTAAAATCAGGAGGACGGGGGGGCAGAAGAAGGGAAGGATAGGGGGAGCAGGAGGAGGAGGGGGAGGCAGACCAGGAGCAGGAGGACAACGCGGTAGGACGATGCGGAGGAGGAGGCGGAGGAGGAGAAGGAGGAAACGCAGGAGGAAGGGGCGGAGGAGCAGGCGGAGCAGGAGGAGGAGGAGGAGCAGGAAGAGCAGGAGGAGGAGGAGGAGGAGGAGAAGGAGGAAGAGGAGGAGGAGGAGGAGGAGGAGGAGGAGGAGAAGGAGGAGGCGGCGCACGGAGCAGGAGGGGCTGGGGGGGGCGGGGCAGGAGGAGGGCGGGGCAGCCTCCTCCGCCCCCCCTCGCAGGAGCGCCGGGCGGTGGCGGGCGTGGACGCGGCGTCGGGACTGGGCCGCACGGGGCCATCCCCTCCCTGCCCCCCCTCACTCCCCGCTGCGTTCCCTCCTCTCCCTCCCCTCCCGCCTCCCTCCACTCCCCTCCCTGCCCCTCTGCGGCTGTTCCTGGCAGGAGCACGTTCGTTCGGGCCAGTCGCATCGGCCTTGCAATTCTGCGCGCTGAGTCGGCAGCTCTTTTTTGGGCGAGTTTTTGCGGGCCTCGGCTTCACTTGATCGTGCCCGCCACTCGCTTTACATACCCTTTTCCTCCTGCGTGTTCGTCCTCCCGGGAGCCTAGCCTGCAGCGGTCCACGGCAGAACATACTGTTCTAGTCGCCATCCATCCCGCCCTTTACTTCTCTCATGTACCTCGTTCCTTGCCCTCGCTTTCCTCCTTCCTCCTCCGTGAGCTTGCGTTGCTCGTGGACACTGGAGTGGCGGAGCGCGTGGCGGAGGTCGTTGGGCACTGTCGGCCACGGCAGGTCATTTGTTGGTGCAGCTTGCGTTGCAAAAAGAGTCAGCAGCACTCGCAGAGGTTCCTTTTGGATCATCGGCTCTTAGCCGGCGGCCTTGAGGCAGCTCCAGCGCACCGGGCACGCTCTGCACGAAGCCGCTGGCCGACGACGACCCCTCTCTTCCGGCCCGGGCTCAGGCCGCCTCCGAGCGCAGGTTGCGAGCCAGAGCCGTGCGGCCCCCGGCCGCTGCCTCCCTCTCCCCTCCCGCTCGTCCTCGCTTCCTGGCGCGCTGCCCGCCCCCTCCGCTCCGCGGCCTCCCGGCGTGCGCAGGCCGCGCGCGCGCAGCCGCGCTGCACCAGTTCTGCGGCGAGGCTTCGCCTCTGTCTGGCGCCGCGGCCAGCCCAACCTCTGCACAGCCACATCGATGGATTTTCTGATCACGGGGAGGAGTGCTGCACTCCTGCAGCCTTTTGCCAGGCATGGTTGTCGGGCGCGTTGGCACTGCGCATAAACAGCCCAGGGCGCCACGGGTCATGTCGAATCCGGCGCAACACCCACTCGCCCGCGAGTCTTTTTCACTGCAGGTCGACCGCTGCTGCATTTGCCCTGCATGCTCTCTCTTCCTGTGAGCCCTCCCCTTGGGGGACGAGCCTGCGCTCGCCAACCGCGAAAGCAGCAGTAGGGCTTACACTGGGGATAAATTGTGGTCCGGCACGTACTGCTCACAAGCTTGCCGCCCAGTGCCAGCAGGCCTATATCTGCGTGTCGAGTTTCTGTGGGTGGACCTCCAGACAGGGGGCCCGCCCCCACTCGACTACCGCCAGGGTGCGCTGGCCTTGCACAGCAGCACAAGACACCTTGACGAGAGGATACTGCCTAGTTTCTGTTTTTCTGGGTGTGTGTGTGTGTGTGCAACACACGTGACGCTGCAGCATGGTTGCACTGACGCTTGGGCTGGAGGAGCTAGAAGGCATTCCGCTGTGTAGGTCAATACCATCGCGCAAGTTAGGGACTGGGGGTCTCATGTTGTTCGTCCCCTTGCTCTCTATTGCCATGCCCTCCCCCTGCTTTCGGGCCCAGCGCCTCTCCCTCGGCCGGCTCCAGCGGGGCCTGGCAGAGCGAGGCCCACGCCGCGCGTGTGCGTCAGGTGGTGTGGCTTTCCCCTTCGTGGCACGCAGTGTTGGGGATCTGGCAGCTAGCACCCTGCGGTGGTGCAAAAGGCACGCAGCTGCAATGCCCCGATTGAGGGTCGAGTCCAAGCCCCTCCCTCCTCCCTCCGCCCACATTCCTTCTCCTCCATCCTCCCTCCTCCTCTTCCTCCTCCTCCTCCTCCTCCTCCTCCTCCTCCTCCTCCTCCCCCTCCTCCTTGACACGGAGGCAGAGCGATGGCAGCGGCCGCCTGGATCGAGGGTCACCTTCGACATCCTGAGGCCGTTCGTCCGCGACAAGAGTCAGAAGTACACGGGTTACCAGAAGTTCTTGGTCAGGAGCTTGGCGTGCGGAGGCTGCTGGACGCGGGAGTGAGCCCGTCTCAGCGGTTACGAGACCGACAGGAAGTGCGCTTGCAGCCAGGTCAGCACCGTGAAGCACCGCCCGTGCACTTGCGCGCGGCAGGACGTCGTGGCGCCGCGCGAGGAGGCGGAGATTGATGAGAGCTTCCTCGCGTGCGGCGCCCAGGACGGCGTCGATTGGTTCCTCCTCCACGGCTGCTTCGAGCACCAGGACGGGGACGTCCCTCGACCAGATCTTGGCACAGAGGCCCGCGTCACCGACCTGGACGGCGGCCTGGTGGACATCGAGGCCGAGGAGATGGTCTCCCGCGCCTGCCCCGACGCCGTCGAGATCGAGCTGGCTGGCGACGGCTCCTGCTCCAAACCGGCCGTGCTGGAGCGCGCGGGCTGGGCAGTCATCCTGCTCGACCCCGCCTCCGACGTGCAGCTGCCGGCGCTCCACGGGGCGGTGCCCGCTGCCATGCTGCAGAGGTCCGCGATGGCCGAGTTCCTGGGCATGGCGTTCTCGGCGCAGGTGGCGGATTGGCCGACGGACCTCCACCTGGATTTCATGAGCGCAGCGCGGGCTGGCCGTAAGTCTCTCGCTGGACAAATTAATGTATGCATGGGTGCAAGTGTTTGGCAATAGCATGCCGTGCAATGAATTCATTCGATGCGAGCGTTGTTGCATACTGTTTTGCGAAGCGCGCTGTCCTGCCCCACCTACCTCCTCCACGAGCGTTGAGTGAGGCTCTCGAGCAGGCTGAGAAAGATTGTGCGCAGCTCGCTTGGCGTCGTCGGTCCTCCCCGTGCATGAGCAAGAGGAGAGATGGCAGAGGCTTCCAGTGTTTAGGCGCTGTCGACATGTACTGCGTGCTGGATGGCACGACTGGTGTTCTACAGGTTTCGGCCAGCGGTGTAGATGTTACCTTTCTGTGCTCCAGGACGGCCAAGACAAACCCCTAACGGGGTGCCGCTTGGCCCCAGATTTCTTGGAATCTGTCTTGCAGGTCCCGATGGGCCACCACTTGTTTGCTGTGCATCAATCGGGGGCTCGATGTGTCGCCCCGTCCGAGGCGCTCGATCGAACTGTATTCGTGTGTGTGTGTGTGTGTCTTGTCCGGCGCTTGGACCCAGCAGCGGAGGAAATCGAAGTTGCGTTGGCCGCGCACTCACCCGACGGTGAAGGGGGCCGATGTGCTCCGACATCTCCGAAAAAGGAGTCGGGCCTCATAGAGGTTTGGCTCGCCAGATTTCGGCGGCCCTCCCGATCGACCGCGCGGTTCGGACAGCTCGGGCCGCGGCAGTCGAGATCACCTGTGTCTCCAGTAGGGCCGACCCCGACGCCGTGCAGCCCTAGGTTCGCATGGCTGCGCTCATATAGCGCGTCCGCCTCAGAGAGGCGGCCAGAGCGGGGGCCGCAGGTGGCGAAATTCTTCCCCCTTGACACGGACGGGGTCGTAGGAACCTTGGAAGTTGTGTTTTACTCGGACCTGGTTTCGGACGAGGGTTATCTCGACGAGGTCCTGGCCGCCCGAGAGAGTCTCGGGTGGAAGTGTGGCGGTTGCATTCCCACACCTGCGCCCGAGCTAGATTCCCAGGACGGCGGGAGTGGGGGTGATGGCGTGGACCTGGGTTTTTTCTCGGGGCAGCCGTGGCGATTTCTAGGGCATTCCGTTGTCAAGCGCGATGTCGGAGGGGAGACCGATGGATATCCTTCCCTGTTCTTTTGTAAGTCCTGTGGGGCTTCAGTGGTCCAGAGGGTTTCCTCAGGGACTGGGTTGGCAGGCAGGTGTTTCGGGGCCCAGCACGCTGGTTTCAAGGCCCTGCGCTTTCAACTTAGGCGCCGCCTGCACCCTTCCGCCGCCGCCGCCGCGCCGAAAGGTAGATCTGGGTTCAGAGGTTCAAGCGTTGCTACATTCAGTGGCTGCACGAGAGCTGATGGGATCCCAATCTAGTGCCCTTGGGGGGGCTGGGGGTGGACTGGGGTCGGGGCCCGCTGGCGGGCCGCCTGAGGTGTGGGCCTGGTGCCCGTGATGGGCCCGTCAGCTTTTGGCAGTTGTGTGTCGAGGTCCCCGTGCTTGACCCTCTATCGAGTCGCCGGCCTGCACGGTTCTGCTTCGCCCGATTCGGTGACTGAAGATCCTGGCCACAACGACCGATTCAGAGCTTCGGCCTTTCCCCGGCGATGAGAGTGTTTAGTTTGGTCACGCCGCGCAGCGGCGTGGCGGACTCGCCGATGCACCATGACCATTGCCATTACCTCCTCCTCCTCCTCCTCTTCCTCCTCCTCCTCCTCCTCCTCCTCCCCATCGCTCCTTCCTCATCGCTCCTTCTTCATCGCTCCTCCCTCGTCCCCCTCCGGCCCTCCGCCTGGGTGTGGTGGGCTCGAGGGTGGGCTCTGGGGCTACCGGGCGGGGGCGGCCGCCGCGCGAGGGTCGGGCTCGAGGGATCGGAACACGTGCGCAGATCGCCCCACATGGTGCAGCTGGCGCGGGGATGGGGAGACATAGGCACCGCTGCGGCAGAGCACCCGGAACACCCGTACGACGTTCACGAGTGGGGGGGGGCACGATTCCGAGGCGGGGATTGCTCACCGCAGCCTGGGGGGATATCGAACTTTCGAGGCCTCGGCGGGCGGTGGTATGTATGTATATGTAAATGTAAGTGTGACTGTAATTGCGTCTGTATGTAAAGATATGTATGTATACTCGGGCTCCGGGGAGCTGGGGGGAGGGCAAATATAGATATCCACCGCCTGCCGAGGCCACCGAAGCTCGATCCCCAGCGCGGTGGTTATGGATAAACCCCCGCCTCTCGACGATGGGGGGGCAAGATGGGCCACCGATTTCGGTGGCCAGTCATCATACACTTGGCGTTGGGAGAATTGCACAGGACCCTTAAAGGCAAGCTCTTTAGGGGAATGCAGCGTTTGAGGTGTACCTTTGTGCTCTTCGCATTTCGGCCCTCAGTTCGTTCGATGTAGATCACGCTGTCATTGTCACAGTCACCCAGGATTGGAAGATCTCAGTCAGACAAGTGCGGGTATTCGGAGGGTGCGGCGGGGTATCAGGAGTTCGTTGTATTTGTCCCAACTACTCTGTGGTGCAGGGTCCCCGTTTTGAAGAGACAGCGTTCCGCGTTCCTCCTTCCTCCTCCTCTTCCTCCTCCTCGTCCTCCTCCTCCTCCTTTCCTCCTCCTCCTCCTCCTCCTCCTCCTCCTCCTCCTCCTCCTCCTCCTCCTCCTCCTCCTCCTCCTCCTCCCCCCCCTCCTGCAATCCTTGTCCTCGCTCCGGCACGACAATCACTCGCTGTGTGGCCCCATAGGGAGCTCACCGAAGGCCCCAGTGGCAAAGCTCGCATGCGTCTCCCCCGCCCAGTATAACGCTTCGTAGCCCCAAACGCAGCTCCACCGAAAGACCCAGAGGCAAAGTTCGGATGCGTCTTCCCCGCCCAGTACACAGTTTCGTGGCCTTTTGGGAGCTCCACCGAAGGCCCCAGTGGCAAAGTTCGCATGCGTCTCCCCCGCCCATGACAGCGTGTCGCGGCCCATAGGGGGCTCAATCGAAGGCCCCATTGGTAAAGGTCGCATGCGTCTCCCCCGCCCACTACACAGTTTCGTGGCTCATCAGGGGCTCCACGAAAGGCCCCAGTGGCAAAGCTCGCATGCGTCTCCCCCAGTACCACGTTGCGTGGGCCATAGGGAGCTCCACCGAAGGCCCCAGTGACAAAGTTCGCATGCGTCTCCCACACCCATTACACAGTTTCCCGGCCCATATGGAGCTCCACCGAAGACCCCACTGGCAAAGTTCGCATGCGTCTCCCTCGCCCAAAACAGCGTTTCGTGGCACATTGGGAGCTCCACCGAAGGCCCCTTGGCGAAGTTCGCATGCGTCTCTCCCGCCCAGCACAGCACTTCTTGGCCCCTATGGAGCTTCACCGAAGGCCCAAGTGTCGAAGTTCGAATGCGTCTGCCCACCCAGTGCACCGCTGCGTCGCCCCATAGGGAGCTCTACCGAAGGCCCCAGTGGCAAAATTCGCATGCGTTTCCCCTACCCACTACACCGTTTCGCGGCCCATCGGGAGCTCCACCAAAGGCCCCAGAGGCAATTTTTTGATGCGGGTCCCCCACACGGTATAGCGTTTCGCGGCCCATACGAAGCTCCACCAAAGGCCCCAGTTGTAAAGTTCGCATGCGTCTCCCGCGACCAGTGCAGCGTTCCGTGGCCCGTTTCGTGACCCATTGGGAGCTCCACCGAAGGCCCCCGTGGCAAAACTCTCATGCGTTCCCTCCCGCCCAGTTCAGCGGTTCGTGACCCGTTGGGAGGTCGACCGCAGGCCCCAGTGGCAAACTTCGCATGCGTCTCCCCCACCCATTATTGCGTTTCGCGGCCCAGAGGGAGCCCAACCGAAGATGGCAAAGTTCGCATGAGTTTCCTCTACCCCATTACAGCGTTTCGCGGCCCACAGGGAGCTCCACCGAAGACGACACCCAGAATTGCGGCGAGTCACGACTCCATATGGTTGGCCCCTCGCCAGCATAATCTGTCACACACGCAGATGTTTCGGGCCCCGACATGCTCTCCATCAGCTGTGCCTCGTACGACGAGCTTGCGGTGAGCCGGGTCGTCGTCCGGAAGGGGCGACCGAGGCCCCTGTGTCATGGACCTGGCATCGCTCGGACGTGTGTATTTTTTCCCCGGCGAGGACTCTTGAGGAGCAGCCTTCATCTTTTGCGAAACAGCCACGCACGAAACCAAAAAAAAAAACAGGGAATGGGCGCCCGAGCGAGGGCCAGTTGAGGATGGCCCTCAGACCTGGGCGCCTTGAACTGAACCCGACGGCGATCCGGCCCCAAAATGTGGGCAGGCGCATGCGGCCCAGCTGCGCATGCGTCCTCCGAGAATCAGGAGGGAAAAAACACACAGACACAATGAATCGTCGATTCCGCAGAGAATATGGGAACATATGGGACGTGTGGGGGAAGACAAACACCCAGAAAGTATGGGAAGATATGGGGAATCTTTTTGTTTGTGTGTATTTTATCTGCGTGTCCTGGGCCCCTTCAGAGAAGCCACCGCAGAGCCTCCGAGGAGCGCAGCGGCGCGGCCGGGGGGGGGGGGACGGCGGCAGGGGCGGAGCTCCGACCTCCTCGGAAGGCTGGGGGGGGGCTTCTCTTGGAAGCCCCACCGCCTCCCGAGAGGGACGGCCCCGCTTGGCATCGCTCGGACGTGTGCATTTTTCCTTCGGCGAGCACAATCGAGGAGCATCCTTCATCAGTTGGCGGAAAAACCACGCACGAAACCGAAAAAAACACAGGGAATGGACGTCCAAGCGATGGCGAGCCCGTCTCTTGGAAGCCCCACCGCCTCCCGAGAGGGACGGCCCCGTCTCTTGAACGAAGGATTGCAACAAAAAAACCGAAGGATTGCAAAAAAACCGAAGGATTGCAACAAGAACCCGAAGGAATGCACAAAAAACAAAGGATTGCAAAACAAAAGCCCGAAGGATTGCAACAAAAACCCGAAGGACTACAAAAAAAACGCGGATTGACAAAAAAAACCGAAGGATTGCAAACAAACACCCGGTTTTGTTTTGCAATCCTAGGGTTTTTTGCAATCCTCTCCCCGCGGCGCGCCGCCGAGACGAGCCTCCCGAGGAGCCTCCCGAAGAAGCCCCCCGAGGAGCCTCCCGAAGAGCCCCCCGACGAGCCTCCGAGGGACCTTCCGCAGAGCCTCCTCCGAAGGGCCTCCGAGGAGCCTCCGGAGGAGCTTCCGAGAAGCCCCCTCCCGAGGGAACCTCCCGAGCGACCCCCCCCCCGAGGGAGCCTCCCGAGGGAGCATCGCTGCGCCAGGACCGCCGCCCGTGGCCGTCGTGGGCAGCGGCTTCGGCGGCTACGCCGCACTGCAGGCGCTGCTCGAGCACCCGGACCTGTTCGCCTGCGGCGCGCGACGGGGCAGGGCAGATAGAAGAGCCTCGCTGCCCTCCTCTCCTCTCCTACTCCCTTCTCCCCCCCCCCCCCTTCCCTTCCTGTTTCCTCCTCCGCCACGCCCCTCTCCTCCTCCTCGCCCTCTTCGTCCTCCTCCTTCTCCTCCACCTCCTCCTCGTCCTCCTCGTCCTCCTCCTCCTCCTTGTCCTCCTCGTCGTCGTCCTCCTCCTCTTCCCTATGTAGCCATTTTGGCTCAAGTCTAGGGTTTAGGGTTTAGGGTTTAGGGTTTAGGGTTTAGGGTCTACTAGGCGTGGCCACGAGTACAACGTGACCGCGAACCCACCTGCGGTGGCCGTCACTCCCACCCGCACGCCACCCCACCATAAAGATCATCTCTCCCCTCGTGAGAACCGCATCGAATACAGCGTCGACGACGACGACGACGACGGCGACGACGGATGTGCGATCCAGTTGGCACGCGAGTGCTGTAACGGGCGGGACGAGTCGGGTCGGGCGGAAGAGGTTCTGCACGCATGCGCAGGAAACGCTAGTCGGTGGAATCGGTGGATCGGGTCGCAACGGAAGGCACTTTGTATGATAAAATACAGGAGATTCTGCACGCGTGCGCAGGAAGTGCTATTCTTTGCAGTAGATGGAGCGGGTTACATAAGAGGGGCGCACTTTATGTTGTAAAAAATCAAAGATTCTGCACGCATGCGCAGGAAATCTTTTTTTTGAAGTGGATGGGGCCGGGTCGCGACGGGGACTGGGAATTTTGTGATGTTAAAAATATGTGATTCTGCACGCATGCGCAGGAAATGCTATTGTTTGCCGTAGATGGAGGGGGTTCGCTAAGGGAACTGGGCACTTTGTATTGTAAAATACAAGAGATTCTGCGCGCATGCTCAGAACATTGCATTTTTTTGTAGTAGATGGGGCCGGTTTGCATAACGGCCGCTTTTGAGTAATTTAGGGTTTAATAATGATAGTATTAGAGACTTAGGGTTTAGGGTTTAGGGTAGGAGAAGAAAAGGGGCCGAGGTGTCGAGGACAATTAGGAGTTGGGTCAGTCGAGAAGGATTCGAAGGACGTGGGCCCACTCGCCAACCTCGACCAGCTACTGCTCAGACGTCGCGAGTCCGCGGCGGCCCGTGCCCTGCAACATGAGATCGAGAAGGTAAGGCTGAACAAGCGCGCCCAGCAGGCACACGGTCCCCTGGTGGCGTCGCAGCGCATGCTACGTGCTGACCACGAGGCAGGCCAGCAGGCCAAGCAGCTTACCCGCCTCGCCAACAAGCTCGCTGAGGCCCAGAGGTACCTTGGCGGTCGCGCGCAGTAGCATGCAAAGCAGGCGACAGTCTCATTCATGGCGAAGCAGGTGTGTGTCATCGCCACCGAGGAGTACACGAAGCTCAAGGCGGCTCCCTCTCTCCCACAGGAGGCCACGTCTGGCGGGTCCGTATTCTTCAAATTTCGATGAGTCTGTCTCTTCGCGGGCCTTGACGACTACGCGAACAGCTCGAAGGAACACTCCTGAATTGGAGGGCTGAGATCGAGAGGCACACGATGGAGCCCCAGGCGGGTCAGGCGGCTTGGAGCAGCTACCCCTGGATATTTGCCACACGGTGCAGGCTTCTGCGAACAGGAAGGGCAAGGCCCAGGGTGGAGAAGCAGCACCAGGAGCCGGAACGCAGGTATCGAAGAAGGAGGACGGGGCAGCGTCAGCGGCTCACCCACCACCTGCCCCAGGGAACGCCTTGTCTGCCAGCGGAGGCCCCAGCAGCGGAGGGCGGCGATCGTAATCATCAAAAAGGCGGAGGCGACGGGCAGCGGCCTTGATGAGGCCTGCTTCTGTGGGGATATACCGCAGTGGTGCCCTCAAGCGGCCCCGCACCCTCATGATTTGAAGGGTCGCTTCTAAGTCGCGTTCGCCTAGGTACACGTCGAAGCAGCACGCATCCCTCATGAACGAGAGCTGCAACGAAGTGGTGGTTGGAAGATGGCGGCCACGGCGGCCTACAGAAAGCATGCGGGACATTCGGCAGGCGAGTGGGTCCTGGCCCGCTCGCGCATCGCTACCACGACTCTCTCGTTGGTGCAAGATGAGATGATTGGAATGGGAAGGAAGGGCCCGTTCCGCGGGTATGCGCCGCTGGCGTGGCACGTGCTGTCGAACATCCTACTCGTCATTGCCACGCACTTGGCTCCTGGCACTGGTACGCAGCGCAAGAATGACGATACCATGAATGCGCTTGTTAATTTTGTACACATGGTCGCGGACCGCTGTGCTGTTGCGGGAGACTGTAACATGTCCCTGGCCGCCCCTGAGCAGACAGAGTGGCCAAGCATGATGACTGCGGGGATTGTTGAGCCCTCGGATGTGCTGGCGTTTTGTGATCGGGATACCCAGGGCGGCATGCATGTTTATGCGGAAGTCGGGAAGGGCGGCCACCAGCAGGCTTCCTTACTGGGCATCACGGGTGCACCCTGGTGCACACTTTGCGGCATCGAAGTGCGGCTCGAAGGCGTCGCCGAGAAATGGTAGCGTCGCTCGCCTTCCCTAGCCCAGGCACTCCCCGCCCGCGGGGCCCTCCGGGCTGTGGGGCCCTCGAGGCCTCTGGGGGCTCGAGAGGCCGTCTTGGTGGGAAAGGCTCGAAATATCAGTTTGCGCTCCCCTTTTGGAGTTACCTGGAGCCCACATGGGGCCCTCCAGGGGCTGTCTGTCTTGAGCCGTCGTGGGGGGGCCCTGGCGCTGTCTTTGGGCCTTGAGTAATTTTGGGGCCTTCTTGGAGGCATCGCGGGCCGTCTTGGGGCAATCTTGGGGGCCGTTTGGGCCGTCATGGCAGCTGTCAAAAGCGAATGCGTCGAACATGTCAGTTTTTCATTGGCATGGGATGGTGCTGACCTATCGGGACCTTCTCGGCGATCCTCCTGGGGCGCTTGTGGGCTGCATCTGGGGGCATCTTGGTTATCTTGGGTCAACGTAGGGCTACCCTGGACCGTCATGCCGCTCTCTTCGATTGTTTTGGCGCCCTGCCTGGGCCCCGTTGGGCAGTGTCGCGGCTTCGCTGGGGGCTCCGGAGGCCCCCGATGCGCGTTGACGAGCGCGCCCCCCCCCCTAGAATAAAGAGCATTTTGGACCCCGGGGGAGGTGGGAAGGGTGAGGGGGGCAGCCGCATGTTTGAGCCCAGGTTATGTTTGCGCGGGGCGCCCCCTGACAGGCAAGCGGCCGCGGCTTTCGGTGAGGGGGCTTGCAGCTTTCCACGGGCTTGCTGCTCACGGAGGGCCCTGGGCCGCTGCCTCGGATCCTCAGGCCCAAGATTTCTTTAGTGGTCTTTGGCGGTGGCTCGGGAGGGCGATTCAGTGGCAACCCCCGTAGGCGGAAATGCGGCGCTGGCGTGGCCTTTTTGGAGCTCCCCAACTCCCCCCCTCGAGTGGTGCGCGGTTTGGTGGAGCCTCCTCCTCCTCCGCCTCCTCCTCCTCCTCCCCCTCCTCCTCTTTCTCCTCCTCCTCCTCTTTCTCCTCCTCCTCCTCCTCCTCCTCCTCCTCCTCATCCTGCTCCTCCTCCCCCCCTCATTCTACTCCTTCTCCCCTCCCCGACCTTCCCTCCCCTCCTCCATTCCCCCCCTCTTCTTTCTCATCGCTCGTTTTCGCGCGCGCCCTCTTCCTCGTCCTCCCTCTCCTCCTCCGCCACTTCCCACCCCCAGGGCGCGCCCCAGAGGGGACGGAGGGGGCGTGGAAGCTGACGACGGCGGCGGCGACGAAAACGGCGTGGGCGGCGGAAGAGGCGGCGGCGGAGGCGGCGGCGGCGACGATCTCGGCGGCGGCGGCGATCTCGGCCGCCGACACCAAGACGACGCACTGGCCACGAGCACTGCGGAAGCTGCGGCGAAGACGGCGCCCGGAGAGGCGTGGCCATCGGGCCGACGCAGAGCCTCGCGGAGTGGCCGCGCAGCTACGCCCCAGACGCGGCGGCTCGGCTCGGCGGGGCGACCCGCCGCCGCTGCCGTCGTCGCAGCCTCGCTCCCGAGGAAGAGCGCAGCACCGGGCAGTTGCGAGCTCAGTGGGCCCTGGAAACAACAGGGCCGTTTTGTTACCGGTTCCGTTTCGCCGTTCTTTTGCCGGTTCCGACGCTGTTTTTACCGGTTCCGTCGCCGTTTTTTGACCGGTTCCGACTCTGGTTCCAATCCTGGAGCAGTTTCTTTGCCGTTTCCATTTTCCAGGGGCATTTTTTTGGAACCGGTGAAAAAAAAGCCCTGCAGTTTCCTGGGCCCACAAAGGTTGCGAGTATGATCGCGGGGGCGGGTGCGGGGTTGGTCGCGAGCGGTCGCGGGTGATTCGCGGGGGGGTCGTGGGGCCAGTCGCGGGCGAGGACGGCTACAAGAGCAGCGATCATGTTGATGTTGTTCGCTCTTATTCGCTCGCGTGTCACCCAACATGAGCGTGTTTGTTGTTAGCCATCTGGGCAATACGGGGCGTCATGCCCCCCCTCACCCCCCCTAACGTAACGCTCCCCCCCCCCGCCCCCCCGTAGTGCGCCTCTGGCACTGCCATCGTGACGCTCGCAGGCTGCTTTGGTGCTTGCCGGCTACTTTGACCCTTGTCGTCGTGTCCGAGGGCCCCGCAAGGCCTGCAGACGCTTCCAGGGGCTTCCGGAGGTCTCCTGAGGCCTCGGGAGACCTCTGTAGACCTTCGGAGGAGCCGTCGTCGTCGTCGCCGTCGCCGCCGTCGTCGTCGTCGCCGTCGTCGTCGTCGTCGTCGTCGTCGTCGTCATCGTCGTCCCCGTCCTCGTCCCCGTCCTCGTCGTCGTTGTCGATGTCATCGTCGTTGGAGGTGTCGTCGTTGTCGTCGTTGTCGGCGTCGCCGTTGTCGCCGCTTTAGTCGTCGTCATCGTCGTCCTCGTCCCCGTCCCCTTCCTCGTCCTCGTCCCTGTCGTCGTCCTCGTCCTCGTCCTCCTCGTCATCGTGGTCGTCGTCGCTGATGGCTTCGAAGGGTCTCCAGACGCCTCCAGAGGTCTCTGGAGACGTCGTTAAGCCTCCGGATACTTCTACACACCTTCAGAGGCGGCCGTCGTCGTCGTCGTCATTGTCCTCGTCGTCGTCGTCGTTTTCGTCGCGTCCTCGTTGTCGTCCTTGTCGTCGTCGTCGTCGTCGTCCTCATCATCATCATCATCATCATCATCATCATCATCATCATCATCATCATCATCATCATCATCATCATCATCATCATCATCATCATCATCATCATCATCATCATCATCATCATCATCATCATCATCATCATCATCATCATCATCATCATCATCATCATCATCATCATCATCATCATCATCATCATCATCATCGCCATCATCATCATCATCATCATCATCATCATCATCATTATTATCATCATCATCGTCATCATCATCATCGCCATCGTCATCGTCATCGTCATCATCATCATCGTCGTCGTCGTCGTCGTCCTCGTCCTCGTCATCGTCGTTGTCATCGAGGACCTCGAAGGGCCTCCAGACGCCTCGGTGTCCGGAGACCTCCTTGGGCCTCAGCAGACTTCTGGAGGCCTTCAGAGGCGGTTGTCGTCCTCGTCGTCGTCCTCGTCCTCGTCGGCATCGTCGTCCTCGTCTACGTCCTCGTTTCGTCCCTGCCCTCATCGTCGTCCTCGTCATCGTCGTCGCTGTCCTCGTCCTCGTCGCCGAGGGCCTAATAGGGCCCCTAGAGGCCTCCAGGGGTTTCCAGAAACCTCCTTAGGCCTCCGGAGACTTCCAGAGACCGTCGGAGGCGTCCGTTGTCATCTTCGTGGTCGTCCTCGTCATCGTCGTCCTTGTCCTCGTCGTCCTCGTCCTCGTCTTCCTCGTCCTCGTCTTCGTCCTCGTCGTCGTCGCTACCGTCGTCGTCGTCGTCGTGGTCGTCGTCGGGCGCTCGGGCGCCCTCGTCGTCTAGCAAAAAGCCAGCACATAATGATTGTCGAAGGAGGGCGTGGGGAAAAACATTGTGGTGCTTCACGTATCCACTGCGCAGTGCATAGGCGATGTGGTGCACGCGGCTGCGGCGGTGCAGACTGTGCTGCGCACTGTGGTGCGTGCTGTGATGCGGACAGGCGTTGTGGCGCCGGGGTCACACCGCGGGGGGTGGCGCTACGTAATGCCCCCCCCCGCCCCCCCCCCCCCCACAAGGCCTCTTCTTGGCGCGGAGAAAAGATGCGTTTTACATGCATCCCAAGCCCTCGGTACCCATTCTCTTCGTCTTCGATCGTACCCCCCTTGGGGGCATATCCTCCTTATCAGCCACGTGTAGATGGCGCAGCCCCTGGAGCAACGGGGGAAGGGAGGGAGGAGGGAAGGAACAAGGGGGAGGGAGAAGGATGGAGCACGAGAGAGATTAGCAGGAGGGGAATTCGGAGCAGGAAAACAAGCGGCAGAAATAGACGAGCGGGTCGGGCGGGCTAAACGTATCGGGCGTGTCGGGCGGGCGGACCCTGACGGCGGGGTCGAGCGGGTGGGTCACTGAAGCATGAATCCTGCAGCTATCGCGGGGAAGTTTCGAGCGACAACGCGATTCGCCGCTAGTGAATCTTGAGGAAGTCCCAGCTGAGAGCATGATTCCTGAGTGTCGAGGGCGCGTCGCCTCAATGAATCGCTAGGAGATCCGAGTTCCCACGCGAGAGCACGACCCCTGGGTAAAGAGTGAGGACGCCCCGCGCGAAAGCGTGATTTTGAGTAAATTGAGGAAGTATCCAGCAGGAGCCGTTGGTGTTGCAGTTCGGGGGCAGCAACCACTTGAGACGATCAAGATTTGTTTTTAAAGAAGCAGGGTGCAAGCCCAGGAAGGAGCAATTCCCTTGAAACGTGTAATTCGCACTGGAGGGATGACCAGCACTAATGCAACACACAGTGCTTGCATCCAGGGGTCCTGATCTCTCGTAGAGAAGGAAGTGGCCCCGCGTGTCTGCCTGGCGGCTCCGTGCTCGCCGCCGCCGCCCCATGTAGTCGCCTCGTCGCCGCCCGTCGTCCAGGCACGGCGGCTTGGTGCTCGCTGTCGCCGCCCCGTCGCCGCCGCGTCGCCGCCCATCGTGTGGGCCTGGCTGGCGGTCCTGCGGCTCCGTGCTCGCGGTCGCCGCCCCGTCGCCGTCTCGTCGCCCCCCTGACGTCTGGGCCTGGCTGGCGGTCTGGCGGCTATGTGTTCGCCGTCGCCGCGCGGATTGCACCACATTGATTCTCCTTTTTAAAAAGAGAATAGACTCTACCCCCCCCGGCGTTATCCGCCCCCCTTTCAGGTACGTAAATCATATATGAGTTTGACCACCTGTCCATCCTGAATATGAATTTACACTATCCCAGTGGGCCGGTATCGGTTCCCCAGAGGTTCCCTAAAAAAAAAAAATGCGCGGGGACATTTTTTGTTTTAACATACGAATTGTTTTACAAATCGCTTGCAAAAAAAGAAACGAAGTGCACACGCGCGCGTCGTCGCGCGCGCATGCCGAAATACTTCAAAAACCTTCGGTGCCGGAAGGATTTCGCAATCGAGCTTCCAAAAAAAACCTACAAAAGCACAGGGTTTCGCAACATTGATTTGCTAAAAAAGCTTGCGCGCGAGCTCTTGCGACATCTTAAGAAAACCACTGGTTTTTCAAGATTCTCACAAAATGCTACCAAACGTGCTTCGCGCGCGCGCATGTCGAAATCTGTCGAACGCCCTTGCGCGTGTGCCGTCGCGAGAATCCTCTGCGAAAAATGGGACGACGTATGCCGAAATCCTTCAAAACCCATCGGTTTCGAAAGGATTTCAAAATCGTGTGTCCAAAACACCTACAAAAACACAAGGTTTCGCCACGCGGATTTTCAGCAAAAGCGTGCGCGCGCGCTCTTGCGTCGTCGTCGTCGTCGTCGTCGTCGTCGTCGTCGCCGTCGCCGTCCTCTCTCCTCCCGCGTCGTCGTCGTCGTCGTCGCCTACGGTGTCCTCTGTTTTTCCTCGTGTTCGTCGTTGTCGTCCTCTTTGGCGTGGTCGCTTCCGTCGTCGTTGTCGCCGTGGTCGTCGTTCCTCCTCCTCCTCCCTCGTCGTCGTCGTCGTCCGTCGTCGGCATCTCGTCGTCGTCCCTCCTATTTCGTCGCCGTCGTCCTCGTCGTTGTTGTCATCGTCGTCTTCCCTCCTCCCTCGTCGTTGTCGTCGTCGGCGTCGCCGTCCTTCGTCCTTCTTCGTCGTTCGCGTCGTCGCCGTCCTCCCTCCTCCCTCGTCATTGTCGTCGTTGTCGTCGTTGTCGCCGTCGTCGTCCTCCCTCCTCCCTCGTCGTCGTCTTCGTTGGCGACGTCGTCGTCTTCGTCGTCGTCGTCGGCGTCGGCGTCGTCGTCGTCTTCGTCGTCGTCGACGTCGGCGTCGTCGTCGCCGCCGTCGTCGTCGTCGTCGTCGTCGGCGTCGTTGACGTCGTCGTCGTCGTTGTCATCGTCGTCGTCGTCGTGGTCGTCGTCGTCGTCGTCGTCGGTGTCGTCGTCGTCGTCGTCGTCGTTGTCGGCGTCGTCGAAGTCGTTGGAGACGTCGTCGGTGTCGTCGTAGTCGTTGTCGGCGGCGTCGTCGTCGTTGTCGCTGTTATCGTCGGCGTCGCTGTCGCTGCCAAATGCCATTCGGTACCCATCGTCACGGTCTTAAGGGATTTTGCAAACCAAATTGCAGGTGGGTGGGTGGGATGTTTGCGCGAGCAGTTGAGTGGACAACTCACTGCGAACAGAAATTAATTGCACAACATAGACTGCACCACATGGGCTGCACAACATATACTGCAACGCGCAGCACCCTTTTATTCGAGGGAGAAATTACCATGTACCCCCCCGAGATCAGGATAATCGATCCACCTTTTGGGACGTAGAATTTGCTAAAGATTCTGCCCCATCGCTCATCTACCCCAGCCAGGCCAAAGTCGACACTTCCCCACACCGTCCTGCGCAAACAACCCTATGCGCGCTCATGCGCTTATCGGTAGGTGCCCGATAGACCCGACCTGCCCAGTGCGGATACACGATCGTGGGCCTATCGCCGATCTATCGGCGATGTACTCCCGATTCCAGGTGAGCCACGCAAGGAAACGGGGTCGTTTGCGCCCACATTGGCGCGTAAGTTGCTCGCGCAAGGTCGCGCGTAAACGCCCACGTCTGACATGTAGCGTGCCGCGCTGGCGGCCCGCGTAAGCCGCCGCGTGAGGTCGCCATGCCATCCCGCGTAGAACCCTTTTTTATCGTTGCTCAGGTCCATGTTCGACTAGTGGATCGACACTACAGAATTGATGTACCCCAGAATTGTTTTTTTCGCCGAGCCCATGAAGCGAGAAGAAGCTGCGCCTTTCTTGTACCTCCGGCGAGGGAGTCCATTCTGGCGCAAGCCACTTCTGGAGTCGATCCCCTGCTCGAGCTGTGCCCCCCCCCCCTGTGCCAGTCCCCCCCCCCAGTCGTTGCCTCCCACTACCGCGGCAGGTACGGGCGCCGGCGGAGAGGTGGGAGGAGCCGCCCCCCCCCCCACGGCCACGATGTGGCCGCGCGCCACCGCGCGCGCGCGGCGGCCGGCGGGCCCGCTCTCTTGCCGTCGGGGCCGGCTCTGCCCAAGAGCGCGTCGCGCCGCCAGCGCTGGCCCACCGCGCTTCGGGGCAGCACGCGAGCCACGGCCAGATCTCTGACGATCTGCCGTGCTCAATCCGAGCGTTTTCCCCGATGTCGGCCCCGCGGGCCCGTCTTCGGGCCCTGGGACCATCGCGAATGGGTTTGGGGAGAAAAACTGATTGCCCGCAGGGGATGGGTCGGGAGCTGTGGGGCCGCGGGCTGACACAGTCGCATCCGGGTGGAGAGTTGTGGGGCCGCGGGCTGGAACTACCCGCTTGCGGGGCACAGCGTGTCGCCAGGGCCGCCGCCGCGGCACGCGGAGCGCAAAGGTCCCCGACCGCACAGGCCTCCCCAGGCGGGGCCCCCAGGTCGCACTCCGCGCTGCCGATGCGTCGGCGGCGTGGCGCGGTGTGGAGGCCGAGCTTCGTCTGCATCCCGGCACCGACGGTGCAGCGCCGCGGTGCGGGGCCGCACGGGGGGCCTCCAGTGCTGCCCTCGCGCTCCGGGTCTGCATGTGCGGGTCCCCCCCATGGCGTGTGCTTCGCTCTGCTCCCTTCCTCTCTTCCCTCGCCTTCTTCCAGTCTCTCTCCATCTCCATCCCCCCAATCTCGCTCTTGGAGGAAGACACACGGCGTCACCGCCACCAGGGGTGCCACCTCCAGCGAGGAGGCCCACCGGGCCTCCCCGAGCTGGGGACCGGGGATGCCTCGAGCGCGGAGGGGGGACCACGCCACCAGGATGTCCCCCCGGGCTCCTCGACCTGGGGGTGGTGGTGCTGTCCTTGCTCTTATCACATTCGTTTCAGTCATTGTCCTCCTCTGTCTTTCAAGCAGTCTCCTTCGCCCTGCCTGCCTTCTCCCTCATCGTGCCCGGCGTCGTCTTCCTCCTCCCTCACCGCTTCTCCCTCCTGCCTCCGAAATCCTCCCCCGCCCGTTCCGGCGCCTTCCCCTCCACCTTCTCCGCCTCCTGGCCGTCCTTGTTCTCTTCCTTCTCATCAGCCTGCCTTGATCCTTCTCCTCGACACGACTTGCACTGGGATGGGACTTGGCATCGCTCGGACGTGTGTATTTTTCCCTCGGCGAGGACCATCGAGGAGCATCCTTGATCCTTTCTGGCGGAAAGACCACGCACGAAACCAACAAAAATCAGGAGGGGAAAAAACACACAGACACAATTAATCGTCGATTCCCAGGAAAATATATGAAAATATGGGAAGTGAGGGGGAAGACAAAAACCCAGAAAATATGGGAAAATATGGGGAATCTTTTTATTTGTGTGTATTTCTTTGTGTGTCCTGGGGCCCCTTCAAAAAAGCACAGGGAATGGGCGTCGCGAGCGGTGGACAGTTCTGGCTCCGCGCGCGTCCTGCCGGCTGGCGCCCAGGTCTGCGGCGAGGCCCGTCGGGGCCGGCAAGCCTTGAGGGGCCTCGCTGCGGACGCGTCGGAGGCCAACCAGCAGAAGCCCATCAATCAGGAGGGAAAAAACACACAGACACAATTCTAGACGCTTCGCGTATCCCCACCAGCCCGTCCGGAAACGACGCCCAGGCGAGTAGAGGGTCGTCCTGAGGGGCTTTTCGGCGTCTTGGGTGCCTCGGGGGGGCCTCTGTGGGCCGTTCGGGATCCTCTTTGGGGCCTCCTGGGGGCCTCTTGGGGCCTCTTGGGGCCAACTTGGGGCCTTTGGGGGCCTCCTGGGCGCTTCTTGGGGCCTCCTGGGCGCTTCTTGGGTGCCTCTGGGGGGTCTCTTGGGGCCTCTTGGGGGTCTCTTGGGGGCCTCCTGGGGGCCTCTTGGGGGGCCTCGGAGCCATCTTGGAGGAGATCGATCAACGAAGGGGGGTTCCCTAATTACAGTCCCCCCCTCAGGAGCCACGATCCTCGTGAGGGGTGTCGAATTTTAGCCCTCCCAGGGGTCGTTCTTGGACGTTCTAACTACCCGCGGCCCCTCCTGTCCAGGTCAGTGGGGAGGGGGTAGGGGGAGGGGTAAACCCCTCCCCGAAGGGGAAGAAGGAGGGGTGGAAGAGGAAACGCTCTAAACCACCGACGCCCAGAGGGCTGGTGGGATTAATCGTCGATCCCACAGAACATATGGGAAAAAATGGTAGTGGAGGGGAAGACAAAATCCGGGAAAATATGGGAAAATATTGGGAATCCCGTTATTTGTGTGTATTTATTTGTGTGTCCCAGGGCCCCTTCAATCAATTTGGATTAGATCGAAAGGGGAGAGACCCCTCCTATCGAAGAAGAAAAGAAACCATAAGCATAAACTGTTGACGCTCCGCGCGGATTTCTTGGACCCGCGCTGGGCCCCCCTGGCGGCGCCTCCGGCGCCGCCCCTGGCGCGCTCCGCGCGCCAGCGAGGGGGCCCAGCGCAGATCCAAGAAATCCGCGCGGAGCGCCAAAAGTTTATGTTCATGTTGCTTTTCCCGACCCTCCTGTGTTGGGTTCTCGCTTTGAATAGAACAGGTCGCCCCGTCCTTCCTCCTTCCTCCTCCCCTCTCCTCCCCTCCTCCTTCTCTCCTGTTTCCTGTGTTCCCCTCTCCTCTTCTCTCGTGCCGTCTGCGATCTGCGCAACTGTCGCCACTTTCGTGGGCTCCTTGGAGGCCCAGCGGAGGTACGTCCCACGCGGACCACCTCGGGACCTCGCCGCCCCCTGGGGGGCTTGCGATCTGCGCAATTGTCACCACTTTCCTGGGCTCCTGGGAGGCCCAGCGGAGGTACGTCCCACGCGGACCACCTCGGGACCTCCCCGCCTCTTGGGGGGCTTGCGATCTGCGCAACTGTCGCCACTTTCGTGGGGCTTGGGAGGCCCAGCGGAGGTACGTCATACGCGGATCACCTCGGGACCTCGGGACCTACGTCATGCGCGGTTCTTTCAACGCCCCTGTGTTTCCATTTTGTATAGTTTCCGTTCCTCTTCTTTCTGCGCTCTTCTGAAATCATTGTTGGGTGCTCTTCTTGCGCACTGCGGGTCCTGCAGAATGCCAGTCAGCATTGAGCGGTCCTGAGCACAATCGCCACATGTATAGAAAGGGTTGGGTACGTCACAGGGTAATTTCTTCTTCTATCCTTGTCTGTTTGAGATGTACGCGTTGCACTAGCGGCGGCGGGGTCATCCATTTGGCCAAGCGTTGCGTGGCCTCACGCCAACGAAAGGCGTGACCGCGGCCGCCGCTGCGCCTGGTGGCAGATTGCGTCAGAGGAGCACCCACAGTCAGGAGTCGAGCTCGTCTCGGGATCCTGGCTAGATCCTACTGCCTGTGCTGCTGACTCACCCCCCGGCGACGAGGACCGTCGCGTGGAAGAGGCAGGAGATGCCCTGGCCAGTGCTGCTCAGCTCTACCAGGTGGCTGCCGCACTCCGCAGGGAGGTGTCGGCGCCACCACTTCCACCACGTATCGACTGGGTGGGGGGGTCTGAGGACGGGTTGGAATCTGACCAATTACGTATCGGTTTTCTCTGCGCGAAGTGGGTTGTGTGGAGCCTTCGATCCGAAAAGGCGGTCCGTTTCGGCACGCCGGAAGGTTCTCCCAAGGCCTTGCCATGTTCGCTGTCAGCTCTCCTCCGTGTCCCTCTTGGCACGGGGGCTCGTGCTGCTCCTGGTGTTTCAGCCACGGGCTGTCTTGCAGCGCCTGCTGGCTGTTGGAGTGACCGCGCAGGCCAGTGTGCCCCTGCCTGTGGCGAGACGAGCACGATGCAGGCCGCGCCTCTTCCTTCCCGTCCGTTGTGGTGTCCAGAGCGCGTCGGCTCTGGCGCCCTCCGCAGGTCCCGCGAGCTGCTCGCGCTCTCTTGGGCTCCTGGCCCCGCTCGTGCCTGGCATCTGGTGGGCCCCTCGAGTCTGCCACCGCGGGTGGCAGGCTCGACCGGGATGCGTTTTGGGGGGGATCTACGCTGCTCCTCGTGCCCGTGTTGCCCGCAGCGTCACGGGACAGCCCAGCCTCGTTGCGGTCTGGCCCGCTGGTTCCCGGCTGCTGACAACAGCGCCAGTCTCGCTGCGGTCTGGCCTGCTGGTTCTCTGCTCCGCGGCTGGCTGGGCTCGCTCCCGGACTGCCCTCAGAGCTTGGCCGCCCGCGCCCTCGCGGTCAGATCTGTCGGGCCTTGCGGCCCCCCCGTCTTGGTCGGCACTCCTGTGACGCTGAGGCTGCCGCCGTCTGTGCCGCTGCCTCGCCGCTCCTGTGCTGCTGCCTTGTATACCGCGGGGTCGAGCTGCTGCCCCGTGTGGTGTGCCAGCAGCACAGCGCAGCGGTGTCCCTGGCTGTGCCTTGGCATCGCTCGGACGTGTGCATTTTTCCTTCGGCGGGGACCATCGAGGAGCATCCTTGATCCTTTGGCGAAAAAGCCACGCACGAAACCGAAAAAAACACAGGGAATGGACGTCCGAGCGATGGCCAGGTGCATGCGTTTCGTTTTCGCTTGTCTCAGCGTGCAGCAGCCGACGACGGGCCCGGTGTGTGCGTGGGTTGGCGTGGCCGAGTGGAGACAAGAACTGATCTCCTCGCCTGCGACATTCGCCTCGCCCCCGCCCTTTGCCCCCTCCCCAAGTCGCGCGGGGGCGCGGGGAGGCGACGCAGGAGGGGGGAGGGAGAACGGAGGAGGGGGGCGTGGGGGCGGTTGAGGATGCGGATGAGGGGGGGGAGGAGGGAGGAGGGAGGATGAGGAGAAGGGACGAGGAAAGACGGAGGGGATAGAGGTAGGGAACACAGCAAGCGAGAGAGAGGGCGGGAGAGGCAGAGACAACGACGCCGACCGAGGCAGCGAGGGAGAGAGAGAGAGAGAGATAGCATGAGTGCAGGAGGGATGGCATGAAAGGCGCGATCGCGCCACATCTGGCGTCCTATCCCTCTCTCCTGTCTCCTCCCTCTGCGGTGCTGTGGTCTCCAAAAGCGGACGCGTGTCAGATTCGACGTGGAACTCGAGCACGAAGACCCGTTATCGTGTTGTGCGCAATCAGAAAAGGGGAGCTGCGTACATAGGACGGGGAAGAAGTAGCGAATGAGCCGGATAATGAGCAGGATAAACACGGAGATGTGGAAGGAGGAGGACGAGGACGAACCGTAGCAACAGGAAATGGACTGGAAGGAGCGGTAGGATCAGGAGGACCAGGGGAAGGAGGAGGAACGAGAAGGAGGAAACCATACGAGAACACAGTTGTTCAGCTCATGTGTGTGAGAGAAAGCACAGTGCGCGCAGAGGGTCGAGCATTTTCCGCACAGGGTCATGGGAGAGAGGAGAGTAGTATTCACAATGTGCAGCTATTGGAGAGGGGCATGGGGATGAGGAGGAGGAGGAAGAGGAGGAAGAGGAGGATGCAGGAAGTGGAGGAGGGAGGAGGGAGGATGAGGAGGAGGAGCAGGAGGAGGAGGAGCTGATACATTCCCAGACATCAGGAATCAGGAACCAGGAGGAGCAAGAGGAGCAGGAGGAGGAGGAGGAGCAGGAACAGGAGCAGGAGGAGGTGGAGGAGGAGGAGGAGGAGGAGGAGGAGGAGGAGTGGGAGGTCGGGGAGGAAGAGGTACAGGGAGGGAAAGAGGGAGGGGGGAGGAACAAGATGAGGGCGACGTCGAGACGACAAAGGCAGAGGCGTCGGCGGTGGCGACGACGCTGAAGGAGCTCAGGGACGCCCCGCTCCTGCTCGTCGAGTACGAGCGGGACGCCGATGGGGCTCTGTTCGAGCGCATGGCGCCGCAGGGACCCGACCTCCACCTCCCCCTCGTCCAGCATCCCCCCACGTCCTCTCCCTTCCTTCTGGCATTCTCGTTCATCTCCTCCTCCGCCTCCTCCCCCCCCTCATTTCCCCTACTCCTCCCCTGCCTCACTTGCCCCTCCTCCTCCTGCTCCTCGTCCTCCTCCTCGTCCTCCTTCCTCCGCTTCCTCCTCCTCCTCCTCCCCCCTCCTCCTCCTCCTCTCTCCTCCTCCTCCTCCCTCCTCCTCCTCCTCCTCCTCCTCCTCCTCCTCCTCCTCCTCCTCCCCTTTCACCTCCTTTCCCTCGTCCTCGTCCTCCTCCCTCCTTTTCCCCTGGGGTGTATTGAAGGCCATCCAGGTGTCTCGTCTCGTGGGGCCTGATTTGGACATCTTGGACGCCTCCTGGAGCTTCGGGGGGGCCGCTTTGGGAGCATGCTGGCGGTCTCGGGGGCCATCTTGGGATGAAGGGCGTGAACTGTCGGTTCGTGTTCCCTCTGGGGCTTTGGGTCCCGCTTGGGGCCCCTTCGGGCCGTGTGGGGGCCTTCTGGCAGGGAGGGGCGCATTTGGGCCCGAAAGAGGCGAGAACCTCGACATCCTTTTAACAGCCTGCATCGCGGGGCCCTCTTCGGGGGTCCTCGGGGGACTCTTGGGGCCTTCTTGGAACACCCTGGGGGCCTCTTGGGCCGCCTGTGGGCCACTTCGGGCGCCTCGGAGCGATCCTTGGGCGACCTGGCGCCAGCTTGGACCGCCTCTGGGGCCTCTTGGGCCCCTCTCGGCCCGTCGGGGGGGGGCCCTCCTGCTTCTGGAGGCGTCGCGCGAGCAGAGGCACGCAGCGCCCCCTTGGAGAGCGCGGAGTCGGGGCGGTGAGCCCCGTCGAGGCAACGAGCGGGCTGTGCGGCGGCAGACCCTGCCACCGAGCCTGTGCGACCCGCGCAGCAGGAAGACGGCCGAGTGCCATTCCGACGTGCAGTCTGCATTGGGGCGGGTCGTGGCCCCGACCTCGCCATCGTCCGCGCAGTGGGGAGGAGGAGGAGGAGGAGGAGGAGGAGGAGGAGGAGGAGGAGGAGGAGGAGCAGGAGCAGGAGCAGGAGCAGGAGCAGGAGCAGGAGCAGGAGGAGGAGGAGGGGGGAGAAAGTGAGGATGAGGAGGAGAAGCCTCCTTGGAGCCTCCTTGGGGCTTCTTGGGGGCCTCCTGGGGGCTTCCTGACAGCTTCTTGGGGGCCTCTTAGGGGCCTCATGGAGCCTCTTGAGGGTATCCTGGGGCCTCATGGGGCCTCTAAGGCCGTCTCACGAAGCTCTTGGCCCGTCCGACGCCTATAAAGGCCGCCTTGGGGGCCTCTCTAGGCCGTTGCCCTCTTAGAGCGGTTCACGGCCGTCTTGGGGCCTTCTTGGGAGCCTTGTGGGCGATCTTTAGGTCATCTTGGGCCGTTTTCGGGACCTCTTAGGCTGTATTGGAGCTATCTTGGATGCCTTATGGGCCGTTTTGGGCCGTCAGAAACCCGAGCAGGTGAGCTTTTCAAAATCTTTCAACACATGTTTGAATAATCAATGCTTTGGGCATCCTCGGGCTATCCAGGAGGGCCTCTTGGAGACCTCTTGGGCCGCTTTGGGGCTTCTTGATGTGTCTAGAGGCTATCTTGTGAGCCTCTTGAGCAGTAGTGGGCCATATTCGGCCATCTTGGTGTCATCTTGGCTACCTTCGAAGCCGTCCTAAGGCCACGAGTCTCCCAAGAAGGCCTCAAGGCAGATCAAGAGGCCCCCCAATACGGCCGAAGAGGCCTCAAAGAGGCCCTGCAGGAGAGCCAGCCGAGGTTACAACCATTGTTTGTTTTATGTTTTTGACGGATTTGAGGTTCTAGCATGCTTGGGCTTCCGACCGGCCAACACAGCCCACGAGGCCATTCTGGGCCGTCTTTTTGCTCTCTTGGAGCGCTTCAAGGCCGTCTTGAAACCCTTGGAGCCCCTTGAGCGATCTTTGGGTAGTCTTGGGCCGACTTGGGGCCCTCTTGAGGGCCTCTTGGGCCGTCTTGGAGGCAACTTGGAAGCCTCTTGGGCCGTCTTGGGTGGTCGGAAACCCGAACAGGCGAGAACCTCACAATTCTTCACGAAGTTGCGGAAATCAATGGTTTTGGCTCCCTCGGGCTCTAAGGCCTCTTGGAGCTCTCTCGAGCCGTTTTTGTGGCTTCCTGGAGGGCACCATAGGCTCTGCCTCTTGCCGTCGCGGTTCATCTCGGAGTAATTCGCGTAACCCGTAACGGGCCACCAGTTTCGAAGTTGGTGGCGGCACGCATCGAATGCGGACAGCACCACTCCGTTTGGGCATCGGCACGAGGTCTCCACCCTGAGCTCGCCGCCCATCTGAACCATTGCGTTCTTCATCGCCAGACACGGAGGTGGCAGCGCGTACGTGGCAATTTGTGGCGGCATGACTGCCGCGCGCAGGTGGTGCGGTGGCTGCCTTCCGGTGGGATGAAAGGCGCGCCTGCGTGAGAGCGCAGGCGCCCCGAGCCGGCTTGATCCAAGGTGGCTTTCCAGTACGGGAGAAGACGCGAGCTCTCACGCCCGCACGTCCCCCCACACCCCACACGCAGCCCTCGGGCGTCGAGGAAGCCGGCCGTGCCCGTGGCGCCCCGCGAGCATAAAAACTGGGCACCTGGCAAAGGTCGGTCGCTCTCCCGCCTGTGGCCCCCCTGGCGCCCCCCTGCGATGTCGAGGGAGTGACGCGCGCGCGCCTGCTACGCTCTGCGAGCCCGACGCGGACCAGGGGACCATCCCCAGCGCACCGCCTGTGATGTCCAGGAAGGTCCACGCCTGCCGCGCTTTGCGAGCCCGAAGCGGATAGGGGGACCACCCCCAGCGCACCCCTTGTGGTGTCAAGAAGGTGCACGTTTGCCACGCCTTGCGAGCCCGAATCGGATAGGGGGACCCCCCCACCGCACTTTTTGGCCACCCCCATCGCGCCCCCTGTGGTGTCCAGGGCGTGCCACTAAGCATTGTGAACCCGGCACGGATAAGGGCACCACCAGCGCGCCCCCTGCGGTGTCCAGGAAGTGCCACGCATGCCACGCCTTGCGAGCCCGAGTCGGACAGGGAGACCACAGCGCATCCCATGTGTTGCCGAGGAAGTGCCACGCCTGCCACGCTTTGCGAGCCCGATACGGAATGGGAGCACTGCCTCCGGCGCGCACCCTGCAGTGTCGGGGCAGTGCCACGCGTGCCACCCTTTGCGAGCCCGAAGCGGATAGGGGACACAACCCCCAGCGCACCTCCTGTGGTGCCGAGGAAGTGCCACGTCTGCCAAGCTCTGCGAGCTCGAAACGGGAAGGTGAACCACCCCCAGCGCTCTCCCGCGTGGTGTCCAAGACGTGCCATCCGTGCCACGCTTTGCGAGCCCGCGCCGGATAGAGGGACCACCCCCATCGCACCTTATGTGGTGTCCAGGAAATGCCAATCTTGCAACGTCATGCGAGCCCGAAGCCGATATGAGGATCACCCCCATCGCCCCCCTTGCGGTGTCCAGGAAGAGCCGCGCCTACCACGCTTTGCGAGCCCGATACTCGTAGGGGTACCACAGCGCACCCCTTTTGGTGCTGGGGAAGTGCCACGCCTTCCGCAGGATCCCATGGGTTTCCTGAAGAGCGCAAGCACAGGGCCGGAAAAGGCGATAGCACACGGGGAGACGTTTCTGCGGAGGCCACAGGTCGGATGAAATGAAACACGGGGCTAGAGCGTATCTTTGTCCACTGTGGCGCGTCGCCGCCGCAGGGGGCCCGCCGCAGGGCCGGATGAATCGCCGCCCACACAGTGGGCGGCAACACAGAACCCACGGGGCCAGAGTGTCCGTTGCTCCAACAGGGTGTGACGGATGAGCGTGCGTCCACGTACTGGGGCCGGGGTTTCCTGTTGTTGTTGCTGTTGTTGTTGGTGTTGTTGTGGTTGTTGTTTTTTGTTGGTGGTGGTGGTGGTGTTGGTGTTGGAGGTGGTGTCCGTATTCGTGTTGGTGTTGTCTTTGATGTTGTTGTTGGTGTTGGTATTGTTGTCGTTGTTGTTGTTGCTGTTGTTGACGGTGTTGGTGGTGGTGGTGTTGGTGTGGGTGTTGGTGTTCGTGTTCGTGTTGGTGGTGTTGGTGTTGTTGTTGAAGTCTCAATACTGAAGAAAAAGTATTGTTGACTCCGGTGACATACGTGTTTTTAAATTGAAGTGCCCCTCCCGGGCCTCGCACTCTGCTTTTTATCAGGGGAAGTCTTTCTTCTCAAATTGCGCCCTTGGCCCCGGACTACAACAACAACGGCTGCCGCCTGATAATCATTCGCAGTTTACTGAGGTATCTCGCCCCTAGGGATTTCCATGCAATGTGTTAAAGAATCGTGATCTCGCTTCTGGCTTCCTCGCCAGTTATTCAGGCGCCACGCCCTCGCCATTCAGGAATCGCGCTCTCGCCTGTGACTGCCTCATAATTTACTTGGGGATCGCGCTCTCGCCCGAGTCTTCCTAGCGAATTATGCAGAACTCACGCACTCGCGTAACATAAGTGCTTTTGTCAATTTACGTGCCCCTTCCGGGCTCGTTACGTTTTTACTCAGGAAAGTTGCCTGGCTCACATTATACCCATGGCTTTTGGTTTACAACGACAGCGGCTCCCGCCTGCTATTTCCCCACAACTTATTCCGAAATCGCGCTCTCGCGAGGGATTTCTTCATAATCGAATGCAGGAATCATGTTTTAGTGGTAAGTATTGGCCTCACCAGTACTGGAGGACAGACTATAAACTAAACGTAATCTTCGCACCAATGAACCATCACTGAGAACAATAACCAGCACTTTCACCAGAACAGGATAACCAGCACCATCACAGAGTGCAGTAACCAGCACCCGAGAACCAAAGTACGGGCTTCAGACGCCACGCCTTTGACACTCATGAATCACCTCGCTGTGGATTTGGTCAAGAATTGTTGGGGAATTGCGCTATCGCCAGAGATTTGCTCGCGATTCATGCAGGACGCACGCTTTAGCAACCCGCCTGCTCGACCTAGCCGTCTAGGCCCGTCTTCTCGACCCGCCAGTTTCGATCTGCCCGTCTGGTCTTGCCACGCGTTTTCTGCTCATAGCCCCCCTCCTGCTATTTTCTCTCGTGCTCCATCTTCCTCCCTCCCCCTTGCCCCTTCCTTCCATACGTCCTCCTCTTTCCCTGCCTTAGGAGCTACACGAAATACACACGTTTCAGTTAAGAGAGATACACCCCGAGGGGGTACGTTTGAAGACGAAGAGGGCGGGTATCGAGGGTTTGGGATATAGTTGTTGAGTGGCACGCGAGCAGGGAAGAGCGAGCAGTCATGAAACGATTTTGTTTGTTCGTGTTGTTGCTGCTGCTGGTGTTGTTGGTTCTGTTGTGGCTGCTGGTGTTGTTGCTGTTGTTGTTGATGTTGGGATGTTGTTGGTGGTGGTGATGTTGTTGGTGTTGATGGTGTGCTTGTTGTTGCTATTGTCGCTGTTGTTGCTGCTGATGCTATTGTGTTTGGTTTTGTTGTTGTTCATGATGTTCGTGTTGCTGCTGCTGCTGTTTATGGTGTTGTTTATGTTGTGATTGTCTTTGTTGCTGTTGTTGGTGATATTATTGCTGCTGATGGTGATGATTCTTATCTCTCTCCCTCTCTCTCTCTTTCTCCCACTCTCTCTCTCTCTCTCTCTCTTTCTCTCGCTACATCTGTCTGTATCTCCTTCTGCCCCTCCCCATCCCGTCTCTCCCCCCCTCCGTTCCCCCCTCTCTCTCCCTCCCTCTTCCCTCCTCCCCGGGCCGCCGCCGCAGGATCCGATCCCCGCGAGTGGCCGAGCGCCCTGCAATACGTGCAGTACGTCGGGGACCGCCTCGGCGGAGGGGGCTCCAGGCGCGCCCCAGCCGCGCGAGCTCGAGGCTGGAGCGTCCGAGGTTCGAGGTCCGAAGCGGCTCGTCACGTCATCCCCGGGCCCGTTTCAGGCACCGTCGCCGTCGTCGTCGTCGTCGTCGTCGTCGTCGTCGTCGTCGGCGAGGTCGGGGTCGAGGCCGTCGGGTCGGACATGCGCAATGGGCTGGCGAAGCCAGGCGAGGGCCGCAAGGCTCGCTCTCCGAATCCCTCGGGCGTCGCTGAACCCAAGCGGGCGTGTCTTCAAATTGTTGGCGCCTGCTGTGCCCCCCCCCCGCACCCTCGAAACGATCCGCGGCGGAAAGCAAATGGTCTAGGCAGGAGGCCGGGAACTCGGGGGACCCACGTCGTGAGTAGAAGCACGAAGTCGGACGTGCGGGCACATGGCGTACGGGATCCATTCTGCTGGTTGGAGCATGCCCTTGTGGGTTGCATCGGCCACCGTGGCACAGATCCTTGCATACCTTTGGACTGATATGCCTTGTTACTTCCTGGACACGTAGTTCGGGTGGGCACGGGGGACGCATCCTCGTTTCACGGTCAATCATCATGTGTGTCAGTATGGTGCCGTAGTCAGAGTTTAACAGGGGCGCGGGGGAACGGTGGGAGGCAGAACCGTGCTGCAGCCTCGCCTTCCCTCGCTATTTAGCAGCTTGAGGGAAACGCAGGTCCCGCAGCCGGAAGGCAGGGCGTGTTACTTGGGCCTAGTCCCGCTTCGCCCCTCCCCTGGAATCCCGCCCTACAGTGGAGACCCATACCAAAAAACACCCTGCTTGCCTCCAGGGGGCCTTGGGTGTCTTGGGTTTCGATGGTTTTGCTGTGGAAGCGTGACGCTCCCACACCAGAAAGTAAGGGACATCATGGGGTCTCAGGGTTGGGTTTCTTGTGGAAGGTTTCTTGTGGACTGACCCCCACTGTACAGTCGGCACTGATTAGTGAGTCGATCCTGCCAGATCGCGGGTGCCCTGGTGCCCTGTGTCTCGTGACCGATGCCTCCTACACTCCTGTGGCAACGTGGCACTCGGAGGGGTCTCGTGTCCTCTCGCGTGTCTTGCCCAATCAGGTCCGACTGCACGTCGTACCCGCCAAAGCAGGCCCCCCGAGGCGGAGTCACACCGGGCCCCCGGGGCCCCGGGGAGTCCCCCCCCAGCGACGGAGGCCGCCGAGGCGCCGGCGGCTGCCGCCCGCGCGGCCGGCGAGGCACGCAGGGGGGGACACCTCGGAGTCTCGGGGAGCGGCGGCCCCCGGGGGAAGCGCGGCAGGGGGTTCTTCTCTCGGGACGATCGGCGTGGGTACGAAAAGAACGGGCACAGAGACCAGCAGCTGCTGTTCTTTTCGAACAGGGCTCGCTGTCGGCATCGCCGCGGACGTTGTCCATTCGAGGCAGAGGCCGCCCGCCCGGCAGCGGCCGCGGTCGGTTTTGGACAACATTTGCGGTTCGGTTGGTCGGGAAGCGCGGCAGGGGTCCTCTCTCGGAGGTTGATAGACCTCCTACCCTGACACGTCGATTAACGAATTGGCCGTGTTCGGTTCGCGGGAGGGCGTCGCGGCCATCATTTTTGCGGGTCCAGGTCCGTCGGTTTTCCGTCCTAATTAGCCCGTTTTCACTAAAGGGAGGTGTACTAAAGGGAGATGTGTCTACCGCCGACTTTAGCCCCCCAAATGATTCTCATCACCCCTGGCTTCAAGTCGGGCGCATCCCTCTACAACAGTCAGGCGATCGCAAACATGGATCAAGGGGGCGTGGGTTAGTGACGGGCCCCGTGTCCAACTGGGACCTCAGGTGGAGCTCCTTGCTGGGGCCACGAAACGTGAGAGGGGTGTGCCCAAATGGGGCGGCGGCGCCATGCGAACTGTGCCTCTGCGACCTTAGGTGGAGCTCCCTGTGGGGCCGCGAAACGTTTGAGGGATGTCCCAAAATGGGGCGGCGGCGCCATGCGAACTGCGCCTCTGCGACCTCAGGTGGAGCTCCATGTGGGGCCTTGGAACGTGTGAGGGGTGTACCCAAAATGGGGCGGCGGCGCCATGCGAACTGCGCCACTGCGACCTTAGGTGGAGCTACCTGTGGGGTCACGAAACGTGTGAGGGGTATGCCAAAATGGGGCGGCGGTGCCATGCAAACTGCGCCACTGGGACCGTCGGTGGAGCTCCCTCTGGGGTCACGAAACGTGTGAGGGGTGTGCCCAAATTGGGGCGGTGGCGCCATGCGAACTTCGCCACTGGGATCTTGGGTGGAGCTCCCGACTGTGCCACGAAACGTGTGAGAGGTGTGCCCAAATTGGGGCGGCGGCGCCATGCGAACTGCGCCTCTGCGACCTTAGGTGGAGCTCCATGTGGGGCCACGGAACGTGTGAGGGGTGTGCCAAAATGGGGCAGCGGCGCCATGCGAACTGCGCCACTGGGACCGTCGGTGGAGCTCACTGTGGTGCCACGAAGCGTGTGAGAGGTGTGCCAAAATGGGGCGGCGCCGCCATGCAAACTGCGCCACTGGGACCGTCGGTGGAGCTCCCTCTGGGGTCACGAAACGTGTGAGGGGTGTGCCCAAATGGGGCGGCGGCGCCATGCGAACTGCGCCTCTGCGACCTTAGGTGGAGCTCCATGTGGGGCCACGGAACGTGTGAGGGGTGTACCCACAATGGGGCGGCGGCGCCATGCGAACTGCGCCATTGCGACCTTAGGTGGAGCTCCCTGTGGGGCCACGAAACGTGTGAGGGGTGTGCCAAAATGGAGCGGCGGCGCCATGCGAACTGCGCCACTGGGACCTGAGGTGGAGCTCCCGCTTGGGTCACGAAACGTGTGAGGGGTGTGCCAAAATGGGGCGGCGGCGCCATGCGAACTGCGCCACTGGGATCTTAGGTGGAGCTCCCTATGGGGCCACGAAACGTGTGAGGGGTGTACCCAAATTGGGGCGGCGGCGCCATGCGAACTGCGCCTCTGCGACCTTAGGTGGAGCTCCCTGTGGGGCCACGGAACGTGTGAGGGGTGTGCCAAAATTGGGCAGCGGCGCCATGCGAACTGCGCCACTGGGACCGTCGGTGGAGCTCACTATGGTGCCACGAAGCGTGTGAGAGGTGTGCCAAAATGGGGCGGCGCCGCCATGCGAACTGCGCCACTGGGACCGTCGGTGGAGCTCACTATGGTGCCACGAAGCGTGTGAGGGGTGTGCCAAAATGGGGCGGCGGCGCCATGCGAACTGCGCCACTGGGACCTTATGTGGGGCTCCCTATGTGGCCGCCAAGCATGTGAGGGGTGTACCGAAACAGAGACATTATGAAGGCAGGGGCAAGGACTGGGAGAAGGGAGGAGAGGGAGGAGGGAGGGGGAGGAGGAGGAGGAGGAGGAGGTGGCGGGAGGCAGGGAGGGACGCGGGGCGCTGTCTCTTTAAAACGAGGACCCAAAACCACAGGATGGTTGGGACAAAAAGTCTGGGGACGATTTTCCGTATTTTTGATTATTCAATCGCTTCGTTCATTCTGCCGGCCCTGGAGCTCTCTTTGGGGCCTTTTGGGCCTCTTGGGGACCTCTTGGGAGTCTCTTGGGGCTCCTTGGCGGCGTCTTGGGGGCCCCCAGGGCCTCTTGGGGGGCTTTTGGGGGCCTCTTGGGGCGGGAAGGAGGGTAGTCGATTGCGGCTCCCCCCTCGGAGGCCACGATCCTCGTGAGGGGTGTCGAAAAATTGCCCTCCCCTGGAGTGCTCTGGGGGCTTCTCCTGGCTAGTTGCCGGGGTACTTACTTTTCGTCCGGGGGCCCCCAGGGGCCGCTCCGCGCGCGCGAACCAGAAGGAGAGAGAGGGCCAAAACAACCTGGGGGTTGATTTGGCCCCCACTCCTACGATTTATTTTCAGAGCAGTATGCCGTCGAGGGGAGGGAGGGAGGGAGAGAGGGAAGGAGGGGAGGGCAGGGGAGGGGAGGGGAGGGTGGGGAGGAGGAGGAGGAGGAGGAGGAGGAGGAGGAGGAAGAGGAGGAGGAGGAGGAGGAGGAGGAGGAGGAGGAGGAGGAAGATGAGGAGGAGGAGGAGGGATGAGGAAGAGGAGGGATCCTCGCGGCCGCTGCGCCTGTGGAGTCCCTTGGTGTCTGCTGCCTTTGGCCTCTTTCGGGGGGCCGCCGCGCCTGTGCAGTCCCTTGGTGTATGCTGCCTTTGGGCTCTGTCAAGGGGCCGCCGCGCCTGTGCAGACCCTTGGTGTCTGCTGCCTTTGGGCTTCCCACCGCGCGAGAGGCCGCCGAGGCAAAGATGAGGAGGAGGAGGAGGAGGGAGGGGAGAGGAGGAGGGGGGGAGGAGGCGAGGAGCGGCGCCCGGCCGCCGCAGCTATTACCAGCCACGCTCCTGGAGATTCCTTTTGTCGATCTTGTTAGTTTTCGGTTGAGCGCTCGTCTTCGACGGGCCATGGGAAACGAACAACTATTTCCGAAAAGACCTCGAGAGGTCCAGGGGTCGCGTACCGAACAAAAACACGACCTCGAAGATCTGGCCTTCCTCCCTCCCTCCCTCCCCCCCCCTCCCCTCCCTCTCTCCCTCCCTCTCTCCCTCCCTCCCTCTCTCCCTCCCTCCCACCCTCCCCTCGACGGCAACTTGCGCCTCAACTAAAAACCATCCTCTCTTCTCTTCCTTTCCAATTCGTCATGAAGGAACAGGAGGTTTATGAGGGCGAAGGGAAGACAACACGGATGAGGAAAATGCTTGTCCGATCTGGCATATGCTGGTGCGACACAACACTTACACGGTTGTCGGTGCGATGGGCTGTCTGCTGATGCGATGGGCTGTCTGCCGGTGCGATGAGCTGTCTGCCGGTGCGACATGGTGTGACCCACCTTTTGGTTGGAGCGAAGATAGCTGCGCTCAGGAGAGAGGAGAATGAGGAGGCCCTACTACCTGCCTCTCCCCTCGTACTCCCATTTATTGATTTCATCATTCGCCTCCTCCCACGCCCCCCTTCTCCCTCGCATGTCATAAGTGGCTTCTTAACAAAAGATAATGTGACGGACCAGAC